AAATATTTTACAGAAAAAGTTCGGGAGGCTCATTGAAACACTCTTGCTTGGGTGAAGAACCAAATGTTTTTGTTTCTTTTGCTTTCAGGCTCTTTCTATTTTCTGTTTGTTTTGTTTTAAGAAAAATTTTTTTTTTTCAATTGTGTCAGCTGAAAACAAAATCTGAAACCTATTTAACCTGTATAGTAAAATTGGTCCAAATAATCTGATGTTAGACAAAAATTCCAAAGATTGGTTCCATCGAAACCTGGAAAACATTTTGAATGATCTTAGGTCTGAGTTGGGTCAACAGTTAGCAATCTATCCCTCTCATTGCGAGACCAAATTGTGTTTTTTTGTGAATTATAAACTAATTCCGCAACAAGGAGGCTTTCTTTGCCCCTTGTTTTGTTCTTTTGTTTTCTTTGATCGTTCCGCTTTTACAATTTGTTTTACAATTTGCCTCACTCAGGGATCCAAAAACATACAGACACAAAACTGCGCGCCTATCCAAAGCAAAGTTGGACCTCGCAATGATTTACTTTTACCTTGCAAATTGTTTGCCCCATTTTGAGTCTATTCACCCCGAGCAACTCTTTACAGATATTAGGAAACTTTCAGCAACTCATTGCCAAATTTATGAAAAGAAAAGAAAATTAAAGGGAAAAAAATTAACTAAAAAATACTTAAAACTGCTTAAAATAGTTTTTTCTTTTTCAACTATGCGCTATGAAAAAGCAAATTTTAAATTATTACCTACCGTGGGGACTTTTGAAGTCAAAAAATAGTATTGCAAATTTATGTAAAAAAACGGCTTCGAAATGGCAAAGTACAATTATTTGAAAAAAAACCGTTTTTAGGCAAGCAACTCAATGAAAAATTTTTGCTAGCGTATTTGAATTAGAAAAAAATTGTGATAGTTTTGAGAACCATAACACCCTTTATGGCCAGAGTATTTGAACGATTTGACTTCTCGCAATGCTTTTATATCTAAAAACCAAGCACAATATCATATAGCAATATGGAAAATGCACAAGCCCCGAAGAATGATTTTCACTCCCACAGGAATTTTTTTGGACTAGATAACCGAAAGTTTTTGCACCTTCTCTAATTCGTCTTTTTTATGATGAATCCGTTCCAAATTAGAATTAATTTCAAGTCTTAAATCAGCACTATGATCGATTATTTGAAACTCAGTTTTTTCAAGAAAAAGGGGAAGGAACTTTTTATATTACGGTTTCTAAAACGCCACATTTGGGCATTTTAAAACAAAGTTTATGCTTAGTCGACCTAACTTTCACAAATTTAATTCATCGTGTAAATTAGTATAGAAAATAGCGAGATATGTATTTAATTTGGTATAATCTGCAAAAGGAAAACAGGTTCAGTTCATCGGCAAACTGAGCATGAAACTGAGCCTTAATTTTTGCGTCATCAATGATCATAATGATCAACACAAAGGCAAAGCTTCGCTTCGCAAACTAGCGAGAACACGACAAAAAGCAGCACTAAGAAGTGCAATAAAAAGTGGAATAAACTTTTGAATTAGAAAATTCCGGCGACGTCTCGGATTCGATTTGCGACCTAGATATTACACCTAGAGTTTCACGCACTAACCAGTCAGCCAACGACGCTTTGTAAACACAAACACTAGCCAGAAATAAAACAGAGTACAGATGATATGAAAAATCGAACGCTACAAATCGTGATGATAGCAAAAGTGTCACCAAATAAGTGAACACTTTTAATGAACACAATTTTTGCGAGCTAGGCTAGAAAAAAAGAATGTTTGTACTAATAAACTACGCTTCGCAAGCTGGCTAGAGAAAAACATTTTCTTTTTACTGGTAGCAAGCTAGATAAACACCATTTCATTTCAACTTGAAGCCACATTATGTATAAAGTGTACATTTCAAAAAATTGCCAAATTAATTGAGTTAGAAAGTTTTTGAAATGGATTTTTTATTGTACTGTTGCTCTAAAAAACATCTTCGCTCGGTTCATTTGATGAATCAAAAATCCAACAACTGTCTTACCTTATATTTGCGACTTAGATTGGAAAAAGTAATCGTACTACACAGAGGCGAAGCGGAGATTCGCATTACTTGCGATACAACTCAAACATAAAAATACTTTAGAAGTACAAAAATCTGAAAAAAAAATGTTGAAACCCTATGTGTTTTACATTTTTCGTAGGTCTCACAAAAACTTCAATCTGGGCAAATATGCCAAGTAAAACATTTCAATTCTAAATTAGCAGCTGAACAAAAGGATGAAGCGTAAACAAAGACGACAATTTTGGAGCAGGCAAGAGTTGAGCCAAAAAAAATGTTTTTTTTTTGTGAAAAAGTTTCTCATCCCCTAAAAATACAATGAACAAGACTTATAACTATAATGAACATAGCCAACTGACAGTCGTACCAGGCTAATGACCGCAAAAAAACCAAAGAACTGACTTGCGTTTCGGAAAAAACCTCAACCTTCAAATTTCGAAAAAAAATAGATGGCTTAAACCTCTTTGATTTTCTAGAGCAATTTATAATTAGCACGATTTTGATAAAGGTAACCCAGTTTGAGAAAACTGGACCGTTGGTTTAAAATTTTATTCCGCTGGGAAATTTGATAAAAAAATCCATTTTCAAATTTAGTCGACGTTTTTCATGATTTTTACATTCGATAGTGGAGTTTGCCTTCCTTTTACCAAAAGAAATGTTCAACCTTATGAAGAAAACAAAAGTCAAACCGCCAAATTTTAAATTTGAGCCTGAACAGACTTTTTTAGAAAGAAAAACAAATCAACGCGATCTATACAAGAGCCTGAACTACGTTTCTTCGAATTAGAAAAACTGGCATGGTCTCGGATTCGAACGCTTGATCCTTCGCGAAAGAAACCCTTTCCTTAACACCATACTTCTGGACCCCCAATTTCTTGAAATCTACCTTCATTAATAAAGCAAGATCTCAAATGATTTTGATCAAGGTAACCCATGAATCTGAAAAAAAAAAATGTTGAAACCCTATGTGTTTTACATTTTTCGTAGGTCTCACAAAAACTTCAATCTAGGCAAATATGCCAAGTAAAACATTTCAATTCTAAATTAGCAGCTGAACAAAAAGGATGAAGCGTAAACAAAGACGACAATTTTGGAGCAGGCAAGAGTTGAGCCAAAAAAAATGTTTTTGTGAAAAAGTTTCTCATCCCCTAAAAATACAATGAACAAGACTTAAAACTATAATGAACATAGCCAACTGACAGTCGTACCAGGCTAATGACTGCAAAAAAAACCCAAAAAACTGACTTGCGTTTCGGAAAAAACCTCACCTTCAAATTTCGAAAAAAAATTGATGGCTTAAACCTCTTTGATTTTCTGGAGCAATTTATAATTAGCACGATTTTGATAAAGGTAACCCAGTTTGAGAAAACTGGATCGTTGGGTTAAAATTTTATTCCGCTGGGAAATCTGATAAAAAAAATCCATTTTCAAATTTAGTCGACGTTTTTCATGATTTTTACATTCGATAGTGGAGTTTGCCTTCCTTTTACCAAAAGAAATGTTCAACCTTATGAAGAAAACAAAAATCAAACCGCCAAATTTTAAATTTGAGCCTGAACAGACTTTTTTTAGAAAGAAAAACAAATCATCGCGATCTATACAAGAGCCTGAACTACGTTTCTTCGAATTAGAAAAACTGGCATGGTCTCGGATTCGAACGCTTGATCCTTCGCGAAAGAAACCCTTTCCTTAACACCATACTTCTGGACCCCAATTTCTTGAAATCTACCTTCATTAATAAAGCAAGATCTCAAATGATTTTGTTAAGCTAGTTGTTAACTAGAAGTCTACATTCCAGTTTGATAAGCGTAATTACACTGGGCTCGCTTAACTCGTTATGTAAACATATTCTACAGCTTCAAAATGCACGAATACGTAAAATTGGCGTGTAACATTTGGGACTGAAACAAGGATAGCCGGTTACTGTGCAAGTCTTAAACCAAAGTCTTATAAAAATATTAAAATGTTTACTCAAATTGGTATTGTTTTTTTCTGCATGTTGCGATAAAAAAAATCTGAATACAAAAAAATTAAAACTAAGGCATATTTGAGAATCCTAGTGAAAAAATTCAATTGGAAAACAGTTTTTGAAGAGGAATGACTAGAAAAACGAAAAAAAAAACAATTTTGAAATTTTTTTTCGAATTTTAAGTTTGATTCCCAAAATTGCGCGAGAAAACTTAAAAAACTACCTTTACTTGTGAAACTAAGTTTTCTCGGCTTAAATTAAGCTGCAATAAGCTATTGCAATTACTAAGTATCTCACTATTTAGCTCGAAATTAGACCAAAAATAAAATTTCACACCAATTTTTCTCGACACTGCGAAAACATTGTCAAAATTTTATAATGTCGTTCGAATCACGACTGAAAGGGCTGTAATATGATATATCATTCAACCCTATATGTACGATGATTTATTTACGATAATTTATGGTAGCTGATTTTTTGTGGAAAACTAAAAAAAACTAAAACACACCCGAATCCAAATTTCCCTCTTTTTTCAAAGGTCGGAACAATTAACTTAAGGCAACAGTTACCTTTGCATGCAAAAAAACTGAAAAGTATAGAGCAGCATTTTGTATAAATTATGCATTTCAAAATTAAAAAAGCTTGTAACATATAATCGCCAGATAATTGATAATAATCGTGCGGGTTGGGAAGAATTTATTGTGAGAATTTTAAAAACATTAGATCGACAAAATTAATGTTCAGAATTTTCTCTGAACACCATTATGATCATACTTTTAAAAACTTTTCTGCCTAAAGAAATACTATTTTACGCCATTTAATTGCCATCCTCTTTGACGAAATTCTGAGATCCACTTATGCCAAAACGTATTTTCAAAACTTTATTTAAATGAGTATACAAAGGATAAAACAATGAAAACTACTTATTCAGATATATAATCTATGCAGACCAACAATTCACTTTAATTTTTTGAGAAGTAGAATTGTATCAACAAGTTCCTCATTTAATTAGTTTTTCCCAAAATTGTTGATCTGATGTGAAAAAGCTAGGGTGAAGGAATTCATAATTTAATATTTACATTTCTTCAGCTGAATGTTTCACTTTGTCTCGCCTAGTTTTTTTGGCAGTTTTTATTGGTCCTTTGTTTCTGAGCGAACCTTTGAGGTTCGACTTCTCGTCTGATATTGCGGCAGTGTTCGGGATTTCTTCAGCCTCAGAAGACACTAAGTCAGCGCTACGTTTTCCCGCTATTTTCTGTTCATCCGTTTGTTCAGAGGCGTTAACTTTGTTTTCGTCAACACCGTCAGCTTTTGCCTCCAATTTCACGCGGTCTTCGATGTCATTTTCACTTTTCTCTTTCTCAGGCAACTTACTTTTTTCGCTAAAAAGTTCAGCTTTTGATTTTTCCGATTCTGACTGATTCTCCTGACTTTCTTCCGAGCTCAGTTCGCTTGCACTTTCTTTGCTACCAACTTCATTTGGGTCTCTCGTCTCAACTTCATCTGATTTAGCATCATTGGAACTATCTTTGGCATATTTCACTTCTCGTTGCTCATTTTCCACTGCAACGTTTACATCTTTATCTTCATTCGACGTTTTCTCAGATACCGATTCGAGTGATATTTCCTCCGCTTTCTCTGCTTCATTTTTAGTTCCTTCCTGGCTACCATCTACATTCTGAGCCTTCAAATTATCGTTTTTACCGGAGGACTCTGCTTCTTTTTTCGATATTTGACTACCTGGTTGTAAATTATTTTCTCCCTCCTTTTCTGAATCTAGTGAAGGCACATTTACTTTAGAACCTTCCAATGAACTGTCTTCAACTTTAACTTCAATTTTCTCGTTATCACTCAAACTTTCAGCACTCCCTTTAAATCGCTGAATTTCATCTGTTTTAGCATTATCTTTTGGACCAGTTTCTTTATCTTTGTCATTTAAGTTTTTGACATCTTTCGTCTGCGTGTCTTCGTCTTTTTCTTGATTATCACTCTTAGCTTCTTTAACAGTTTTTGATCCCTCTTCTTGGCTTAGTTTTGGATCTGTTTCGCCGGCTTCTGGAATTTGTTCACGTTTTTCCAACTCTATCGTTCTTGCGTCATTATTGTTGTTTTCTGTCTTCGATTTCACCTCCTCGTGGTGGTCTCTTAATCTTCGTCGCCTCTGAATAGTTTCTTCATGGTCCTTCTAAACAGAAAGCGTTGTAAGCCACCACGCCGAAAATAAGATTACCATTCGAACAAGCCGAAAATTAATGTTGTTATTGCAAAAACAGATTATTTGTTGTTATGAAATTATAAAATTTTAAAGTAATTTTCGTCTTCAAGATATGAGGTCTGTTGAAAGCATACCATGACTACATATTCAAAGGTGCAGTTCGAAAGCTTATGATCTCAAATAGCGACAATCTATCTCAATCAAAAATTACCTCGACAAAGAAAGAAGAACATCGCCAACAGACAGTTGGAACGAAGTCAAGTAAAAGAACAAGCAAACCACAAATGATTGAAATCATTTTCCAAAATCCAGAGAAACAAAGATCCCACGGATAGTTTATGATTGGCACATTTTTTCTTAAAGTTAACTCAATTTCTCTAACTAGATCAATAGTTATTTTTTTGATCCGCTGAAAATTTATGTCCATTTTTGAAACTAGAAGTCAATCACGTTTTCGTGACCTTTCTACTTTTGCTGTTCTATAATGCAGTTTCCCTCCCTTTTAACAAAGGAAAAGAACTGAAGTTATAGAACTCAAAAATCAAACCGCGGAAAACGAAACTTGAGCGAGAGCAAGACTTTTTCCTGAAAGAAAGCACAAAAACCATCATCACGACCAATGAAAATCAAAATCACTTTCTTTTACACTTCATAAATACATCTAAAAAATAAAATATGACAGGAAAAAAGAGAAACTGACTGGACGGGGATTCTTTTTCGTAACTTTGAGGCCTTTTTGCGAATTGCTCAATATCCTTAGAAGCTTAATTGAAAATTTGCCTCGTAATAAAAACAACAGCTAAAATTGTACAAGATTAGGTGAAAGGATTGATTAAATTAATTGTAAACAAGGTTTGATATGAAATAAACAGTCAAAATTGAAAAGAGAGCTTTTACAAGTTTTCGGACTTTTCCTGACTTTTTCAAACGAAACGAGTGAATTTCGTTCACTAGCACTAATAAAAAACACCATCGCGCATTACAAGGCACTTGCTACATTCCGTTCTTTGGATCAAGCCCAAAATCAGATCACAAAATCCCGGATATCAGTGTAATCTTCGAGTAAATTCAAAACACGGTTGAAAATTAAGAACTTGACTAATCTGACGACAATTACTTTTTGTGCAAGAGAGCTGCGAAAGGCCGCTAAAGCAGGAGAAATTCCCACCACCCGTATTCTTCACTGAGCCCACAATCTCAGATTTGGGAGGTTAGTTTTCAAGAAAAGGCACAAAGATCCAAAAAAAATGTCAAAAAACCAAAATTTGACTATTCCAGGGCAATAACTTTTTATAAATAAAAAATTGGCAGGGGAGCTTTTCAAGTTAGTTTTATTTATTGAAAACAAAATCTCAGATTTGGTAGGATAGTGTTTGAGATAACGAAAGAAAAATATTAAAAATATGGGTCAATTATTCCCCCAGCAGATTTTTTCAACGCCCATTTTTGAAAGTTAAATGCAATCACATTTTCTCGCGCCAGTCGCAAATTTATAGATTGAACATAATTTTCTTTCCTATCAGCAATTGAATTTGACTACCTAATAAATCAACAGTAAAAAATCAACTTTGAGCATGAAAAACAGAAAAAAAAATCAACTTTGAGCATGAGCAACTTCCCATAAAAAAAACGAAAAAAAAACTTAAAATAAGAGTTATCACTTCTTTCATATCACTTCACTTTTTAGATTCAGCAAAGAGACAGTAGTAGTGCAATGAGAGTGACAAACCATATGTTTCTCGATGAGGAACTCCCGGCCTCCTGTGTTCATGTTTTCTACGGCTGAGTACTTGCTCTTGTGGTGTTTGGGGTTCACTAGGGAGTCAGGGTTCAGACGAGACACTATGATGAACTAAAACAGCCAAAACACAGCACTTCACAAACACTATTTTCAACTGGGCAGTGAAAGTGCATTGCTGATTCTACCAAATAGTTAAGCTCAGGGGCGGATTGAAGCCCGCTCAACATACAAGGCTTCCCATGTTGGTACTATTTTACACAGAGGCGAAGCGGAGCTTCGCATCACTAGCAATATAACAAAAATGGCACGGCAGTTAGCCCAAAAAAGACGCAACCTGACTAAAAAAATGTTTAAAAACCCTTTAAAAAAATTGATTTTTTTAACGTTTGCCTGGAATGCGGGTAAGTTTAAGGGAAAATACTGAGAAAAACAACTGCCAGTGTTAAAGAAGCATTAAATATAAAATTCATTAAACAGATACTGAGCAGGCAAAACAGGCAAACAGAAGACGACTGTGGAGCCGAAAAAAAATTGAGCTATAAAACATTTTTAGCCAAAAAATAATTCTCGTCCCCCCCACCCACCTACCCGTCCGCAAGCACGAAAGCAATTTGATTATTTTGGTAATTCAAACGACGAATTATTAGGCAACTAAACAGGCATGCATCAGTTGAAACTTTTACAGCCGAATAACTTGAAAGTGAAAAAAAGCCGAAAAATCATAATAATAAGACAAAAAAGAAAACTAAAACCAAGAGTTGATTTATAACCAACAATAAATTTTAAATAGCAGACATGCTCAAAAAAAATCTGTTAAAAGTCATTCTGTTCTGTTGCTATCAGAACAGCCGAGCTAACTGATTCAACTGATCTTGTTAAACTAGTTGTTAGCCCAAAAAGTCTATATTCCAGTTAGATAAAGCTTGCTAATCGCAAACGTAATCACATCCATTTTAGGCCGATCGACCCTAAAAATTTTCTAAAGGATCCAATAAGCTAAATTCGAGGGTAGCGTACCAAAAAACGCACCAATAAACGTAGAAAAACACGATATATAGAAATTTCTCCGATTCAATCATTCATACTTTTGTGCAAACTTGAATAAAACTGAATTTTGGTAGCAACGAAAAAGAAAGAATATTAGAATTTATTTTAATCATGAACACCAACCTAGTATAAAACGAAGATCGCATCTTATTTAAAAAAACTTGTATGAGATCGAGTCCGGTACCATAAAAAAGCCCTTTCAGACTCAATTTAGAGGTTATTTCAAAAAGTTCTCTTCAAACGCATCAGACTAAATTACGAAAGCGGATACTCCAAAGAACTGGACTCTCAGTCTTAATTTCAGTCCCAACCCAGTCAAACTTTTGATCTATTTCTTGCAGCTTCATTTTAGAAACCCCTCGCGTTGCCCGATAAACCGAAAAAAAAGACCTGTTTAATACTTATCGTTCTGAAATTATTACTCTGGAAGAAAAATTTTGTAATCATTTCAGGGCAAGTGAGTAATTGTTTTGTTGAAAATGGCTATGAAAATAGTATGAAATTAAATTAATTTCGCTCACTTGTGCCATGAAGAAGAGAAAGCCAAACACGAGCAGGAACACGAGGTTCGACGCTATTCTGTTGCTCCCGAAGTCGTCTCCCCTCGCCCCATAGTGGTGGTGATAGTGGTTCATGCTCAGAGCCATCCCCCCTCCTCCCGCCGTTCCCATCCTGCGACTGCCAGGTGACCCGTACCACTTCCTACCATTGTACATCTCTTCTCCTCTGATGCCTTAGGAGATGGGTCTCCGCCGTCGGCAAATACAATGTCAGGTTATTTATAACCAATTCCCTTCCATTCAAGTTTCAAGAAATGTAGGCCTAATTGAAGTTGTTTCAATTTCCGTTGTAGCATGGGTGACACTTTGGTGGTATGAGAAAGAGTCAAACTCTAGTTCATTATCTGAAAACAGCTCCGGGATTGGAAAAAATATATATCTTGGGACAAAGCATTTCGCACGTCATGAACGTCTGCTAGAGATTTTGAAAAAGACGTAAATTATGCAATTATTAACTCTTTGTCGTGCAAGATATCGAATAACATACTTACTACACAGAGGCGAAGCTGTGCTTCGCAAACACTAGCGAGAACACAAAGTTCAATAAGTAGAAATTAGCCTCGAATTAGTAAAAATTCAGCTACGTATCGGATTCCATTTGCGACCTTGAGATTACGAGTCTCACACACTAACCACTCAGCTACGGTCGCTTAAGATAACACAAACATTAGCCACGAATAAAGCAGAGATCATATGATATGACATTTCCAATGCTACACATCTTGATTATAGCAAAAGTGCCACCAAATAAGTAAATAAATTAATGAACTCTTTCATTTGCGGGTTAGGTTAAAAAAGGAAGATTCAAACTCATACACTACGCTCGCAAACTCGCTAGGATAAATACGAATTAGTTTTACTTATAATTTGATAATAGCAGCCCTATGAAAGCATTTCAACTAAAACTAAAATACTTAATGTTTCAAGCAATGAACCGGCATAAAAAATTAGTTGAATATTTAGCAGGTCATAAATCGATAAAATTAGCCTGAATATATAGGTATGCGTTGCAAAATTCGTTGTCTGCAAATAGGGCATAGTTGCATTGAGTTTGCGCACTGGTCGCAAAATGTGTGACCACACGTAAACACAATATTCTTCTGCCTTTCTATGCAAATCTGACACAAAGCTGCGTCTTCAAGCTGCTCTAGTTTGTTTCTCAATTCTGCCAACTCCTCTGCTGTGTAATGTGATCCCGAGTTTCCTGCCACGTTGCTGGAAGTCGACGGCAAGATGCCTGTAACGTCATTACCATGAAGATCCAGTTTGGCCGTGATTGGTGTCTGGCATGTGAAGCATTTCTTCACGCGGGCGGCGCAGTGATTGCACACTACATTATGACTACAGGGCTCGAAGCGAATGTTTGCTTCCATGTCATCGCAAACTTGACATATCTTCTGAATTGTGATGGTCAGTTTGCTGTATGATTCAACCTCATTTTTGCACACCACACATTTCTTGAAAAAGTCAACACAATCCCCACATGAAACTACATGATCACAGGGTTTAAATTGACAGTTAGCAGGCTGCGAGTTGCACATTTTGCACTTAACTGAACAACTTGATCCTCGAGTATTATCCTTCACAAAATTTTCAATTATGTTCACGAGGTCAGGATCTGAACACATTTCAATGGGCGCTAAATTCGATCTATTCTTACACGCCTTGTACTTGACGCCTTTGCTGATAAGGTAACAAGCCATCAGTGCGTCTCTGGAAACTTCAGGATGCTGTGGTTCAAGAAGATTTTTAACCTCTTTGAAATCTTCTGGTAGCGTAGCATCGTCATAGACAGATAGCTTATTGACTTTGGCCAGATTTTGAAATAAATAGGCCAGTGCATTATTCAGATCCAAGTCCAAATGATCCAAGTTTGTTCCAGCTGCTATCAGCTTTGAAACTATGGTTAGACTAGAACAGCAAACCGCTAGCATCAAAGCGTTGAACTTTTTAGTCGAGACAGCATTAACATTTGCTCCGGATCCCAATAGCAAGTTAACAGAGTCTTCCTGATTGTGCAAAACAGCCATATGAAGAGGACTGAATTTACTGTTTCTGTCAATTACATTTGTTAGTTCAGGACACAGTTCAATTAACTTCGTAGAAACTGGCAAATTTCCTTTAGCACATGACTGATGCAAGTATGTCATATCTTTTAAGGTCTTCACGTTATATTCAACATTTGGCAGCTCCAGCAATCTCAAAGCCATTTCTGTTTTGTTTTGCGAAATGCAGTGGAAAATTGCAGTCTCGCCATTATTATCTGCAATGTTCACATCGCATCTTTCGTTCAATAGCATGTCAATCTTTACCATCTGATCACAGGATGTAGCTAAGATCAACGCCGTCTTTCCTTGAGTATTTTTCTTGTTTACATCGATCCCATTCGCACATAATAATTGCTTCATTATTTCAGTATTGGGGTTCAGAGTTGCCACATGAAGACCTGTGTTGTCCTCACAATCCGTTCCATTTATCTCGAAACTTTCGCAACCGAACAGCAACTTCAATACTTCCGGCGTATCCAGTTTTGCCGCAATGTGTATCGGCTGTCTACCGTCTGGAAATGTCACAGACGATAACGTGGCATCTTTTTTGAGCACAGCTGTCACCTGACTCGCGTCTGATGATTCAAGAGCTTTGAGAAGCTGCTCCATTTCAGGTGCCATGGACATTTCGTTAACTCGGTCACCATATGCTCCTGAGGTTGACACTCCTCCAATGTATGATGCGGCGTTCGCTCTCCCTGTAAGCGATGGTTGGAGACAGTTAACATGAAGAGTGTAATTTTTGTTGCGAATGCTGACATCAAATGTTCCATCCGGTTTCACGGCGCTGACAAATCCAGATGAACCAGCTATTTGCCCCGCTTCCTCTCGACTTTCAACCTGAATCATTTTCACTCTTATTACATAGGAGCTAATAAGATGCATTTCTTTATACTGACTCTTTTTGCTTATCTTAAGATATCAAAAAATCAAAGCGACTAAAAAGGCGAAAATAAAAAAACCACAAATAACATACCTGCTCCAGAAGATGGGCCACATTTTTAGTAACTACGACACAGTCTCCTATTTGAAAGAGCGGCACTTTGGTCAAAGCCGCCTGATGAAACGTCCATTTAACTCCATTGTCATAGATTACTCTCACGTCTCCTTTCTCTGTGATGCGATGAACACAACCAATCCGATCGATTACATCATTCATTTTCGGATTCCAACCTCCATGGCCCTCTTGCATAACTTTCAACAGTTCCAAATCAAGGCTGACTTTAACTCGCTCCCCCAGAACAAATGAGACAGGGTTAACGTTATTCGCAACGTTTAGTTGTTGGGGTGTTATTGGCATGTTGCTCAGATCAACAACCGGCAGATGATCCGGATAGTAATTTCCACCTTTGCTAGCTTTAACGTACTTCAAATCAACTTTGCCTTTATGTCCAATTCGATAAACGTTACTCAATCCGTTGGGCCAAGTCACATTAGCAACAGATCTGTATGTTTCATCTTCCCAACCCCTTATTTCTTGCACTTTACCTTGTTGTCCATCGCCACCGTCTTGATCATTCCAGTCCCAATCTGGACCTCTGAGAACTTTCGCGCCAGCAAAAATTCCTTTAGCTGTAGCTCTAGCCGAGCCTATGCGCTGCGGGCAAGGAATACCACTGCTTTGCGGGTGATCAAATCGAAAAAACTGATGCTTGACATCGTGACAGTCCATGAAATAGCATCGCGAGCATAGATCAACCAGACATCTCGTACACCTCCATTTGAAACCTTTTATGTCTCGCGTTTCACAGGCACAGCAAAGAGAGCCACAGTGCTCAACGCCAACGGGACCATTATCAAATATTCGCAAATCGAACGCATGATGATAACCGACTCTGTAATTTGTTTTCAACCCGTGATCCCAGAAAACAACAACAGTCCTTTCGGGAGACATCTGCCCGGGGCTTCCAACTTCCACTATTGTTCCAACATGACCTTCCCCTTCATCCTAAAAGCAACAAATCTTAATATTAGTTTTCCATAACAGTCTACGAATTTAATAAATAGTCTCACCTGATTACTCCATACCCAATCAGGACCCCTGACAACCCTTAGACCTACAATTTGTTGAAGAGTTTCCATGAAAACTGAAAAAATAAACATCCAAAATGGGTATAACGGTATAAAACATAATTGCGGCCGATTAATTTGACGAAAAATTATTTTAGGCCAATTCGCGATGGAAAGTTACTCCCGTTAAGGTTTATAGAGAAGTGGTTAAGAGAAACAGGAAAAACCCGGAAACTCGGAAGAATGTCAGAAAAATAGCATTCTAAGCATAAAGTCTCATTAGCATCAGTGATTTTACTTCTGGCATGAGGTTGAAGTCAATGGGACTGCTTCGACAAAAGTTGCCAAGAACGTTTGTAACTTTTTCAGAATCTACTTGAACTTAGTTGAATGAATTCTTTTAGTGAAACGGCGAAACAGTTTTGGATAATATAACATCGAAATCATATTCTCTATCACAAATGCTTACTTATAGAAAGTGAAATTCCTGTTGCTACCAGAGCAACAAGAAGCCTCATGAATATCTTGTAAACCCTAAATCGTACTGTTAGATGTTGCGGAAATCGAACAGTGCGTCGCCAAAAGTTCACACAGAAGCAAAGCGGAGCTCCAAATAAAAAAGACGATACTGTGTTCGCTAAGATGACTTTGCCAATGCGTTCAACAGTGTTCGTAGGGATGTTATTTTTGAAGCGTTCAATGAGCTCACGCCTGAAATTTTGTCGTTTGTCAAGTTATGCTACGAAGAAAATAGCTTCCCGAGTTACGGTGACTTCAAAATCGAGTCCGCTGAGGGTTTCCAACAAGGGGATCCGCTGGCTACTTTCGGATTCTCTCTGGTTATACACCCGTTACTCACAAGTCTGAACAGCGAGCTCAAGGCTTGTAACATTCGCCCAAATACTACATAATGACGGAGCGTAGAAAAAGCACCTTTTGAGGACTGGCTGGCGACAATTACCTTAATTCTACTCGTTTTTCACCATCTAGACCTAGCCAGTTAGTTTTCTGGTCTGTTTAGGGCTAAGTACAAAGTTACTATTTATAGGCCATCAGTCAAACGAATTTTGATCCGTTTTCGTTTTCTTGCGAAAATAACCACATAACTGGATCTCCAATCTCCATACTACGTAATTACTATTAAAAACACGGCTCGAAATCCAATATTTACTATGATTTTACTGACAGTTATATACTAAATTCATTGGGGATGGATTGATTTTTACTCTTTCTAGCTACTCATGCTCCGAAATACAATTTAAGATTGGGGTAAATTTAGCTATTCAGGGCATCACAGTAGCTAAAAACCATATATTACAGTCTACTGAGTCTCTGGGCACCGGGCCTCCAATTCGACTCTCCTCCTGAGGGTTGGGTAAGACAGTGCCGAAGTAAGAGAGTGCCGAAAACAAAAATTTGTTAAAGAGTGCCGAAAATGAAAGAAACTGACTTATTTGTCGTGAACTAATTGAGAAAAGAAAAGAAAGTTTTGTTTGCTCATCGATTTTGGCGCCAAAATTGAGTCTGAACAATTTGAAAAGAGTGCCGAAAATGAAAGAAACTGACTTATTTGTCGTGAACTAATTGAGAAAAGAAAAGAAAGTTTTGTTTGCTCATCGATTTTGGCGCCAAAATTGAGTCTGAACAAGTTTCAAGTGTCATTATTAATTTTCCCGCCAAAAACTAGCCTCTTGAATTGCGTTCCAATATTTCCCGCTTTTTTCGGCACTCTCTAACTTCGGCACTGTCTAACGCCCCCCTCCTGAGCTAACGCTCTTATCTCCTCAATCTCGTGGCACGGGAGGCTACGGATCCGCTCCGGCTGTCTCACTGAAGCCTACTTTTTTCCTTTCTGCTTCAGTTAACGATAAGAGCCTCCGTTTTTTCTCTTGTTTTTCTCGACTTGTTTGTTCGCTGTTCTCGTTCGTTGTTTTTTTTTTCTCTTATTCAGTCAAAATGGCCGTTTTCTATGAAATAATTTGTTGACAATTGAAATGTTTAAATTATAAAATTCCAGTACATTCTGACCCTCCTTTTCATCACGAATCGGTCTTCAACGTCATTAACGTCCGTTTTGTTCTCGCCGGAGGGTTCGACTGTCCGGCAGAATGGCTCAGCTGGTTACCTTGACGATGTATCCTTGGGTGACGCCTGGCGCGTAGCACTTGACGATCTCCTTCGTTTCAGCGAAGAAGCTGAAAAACTAGGCCTTTCACTGAACGAACAGAAAGGTGAAGTCACAGCTTCTGGAAATAACAATTACGACATTGAGAGCACATTTCGTCACCACTTTCCCATCATTCAATGCTTTCCAGCAGAAGAAACTGCCCTTTAGGTGCATGTTTACCCGAGTCGAGATTTTTCACCTAATTTGAAGCAAGATTTGAGCGGTTTGAGCGTTTTTTTTTAGACAATTACGCTCAAAATCTTGCTTCAAAATGAGCGGTTTGAGCGGTTTTTGAACGGCTTATCTAAAAAAAATCGCTCAAAAACCGCACAAGATTTGAACGGTTTTGAGCGGTGTAACATTCGCCCGGAAGATATATATCGACGGAAAATAAAACTAAGTCCTAAGACGGCTTGCTAAGGTCTAAACAGAGCTTTATATGCTTTTCACCGTCTCTACCAAGCCAGTACTTTCGGTGGTCTTTTCTAACATCGGGTCGACAAAAAAACGTTACTGCTTTCGGCTTCGGTCAAAACACTCAAATTAACTCAATTACATGCAGAAATAGTGAGCTCATGGCTGTCTCAGTATCCCCAGACCACGAGGTCACTCCTAAAAACAGGGCTACTACTATTTATTATATTACTATTGTTTTTGTTCAGTAGATAAAAATCATCATCTCCATCGAAGATGAATCAACCCTTTCCCCCAACTCCTAGCTTCTCATCCTTATCAAAATGAATCCAGTTGTTAATTAAATTCAAATCAGGACATGACAAGAAGCTAAAAGTTTTTATAAAAGGCTAAAAGTCTCAGTTCCGAAACCCTTCCGGATTCTTGAATCCACTGACTCAAGCTCGTTAATCTTGATTTCTTCTTAATCCGGAAGGATGTCCTCCACCCTTCACCGTTGTCTGCAACGGCCTTGCAACTATTGTAGCGACACAATAGTTGCAACTCGGAACCTTCTCTGCTATTCCTGCAATCTGCTGTTGTTTTTTGATCACGACTCTCGTAGTTATCGTCCGCGCAACTAATGTTGTTGTGTTTTTCTTCGACCTTTTTGCCAAAATGGCCGTTTCTGACGTTTCTCAGAAATGTTACGTAATCACTTCTAAAATTTAAAAATTAGCAATTTCCGAATCCTTCAACCTTCACGTTTTGTCCCATCGTTCAAATAACGTTCTTAATCCTCAACAATCACTAATCCGGAAGGATCGCTGCTAAAAATTTGAATTCTGCAGAGATTGCATTTTTCACATTCTGGTCGAATGTCACATACTCCCCGGACAATCCGGTCAATGTCCTCATTGAATCACGCAATGTTCGTAAAATGGATACAGTGTCATCGAACAGAGTTTACAAAATGCACGAAATTACTTTTATCCACGTCACATCGACTCACTGCAGAATATAAATGGCATCATACTACATCACTATAGCCTTCAACTTCTGTCATTAATCTGCACATTGAGGATATGACCTAAGATAAAACATATTTTCTGACTTCCAGTGTCAATGTCCCGATTAAAACTTTTTCTCTTAGATTTAAAAGGTGTTGGCTTGCAGGACAGTCCTACCAACCAACAAGCTAAAATTATCCTACTACGCTTTTTCCCTTCGGAAATTTTGCTTGTTATTGTCCTGAATATTAAAACTAAGAAACTCTGTGGTTAGAAAGAACAATGAAACAATCTCCCTCTTCAAGAGATTACCCAAGCCTTCCATGTCACCACAAAGTGATCAGTTCTCCTAGCTGATTAAAAACAGTCATGCAGGCTGGAATATTTAAATATACTCCTTCACTTAAACCTTCCTAAATAAATAGTAAGTGAGTGTCTCTAAAGCCACTCAACTAAAATCAAAATGCAATTTATAAATGCAACAATTTCAAAACTCAACTAAATGTTTCAGTTTTCAATTACAACTTGGTTGCTTGGTTTCTCACTTGAGTTTTTTCACACACATAAAACAATTCTGAGTTTTAACTTCTTCTTCATTACTCCTTTGTTTTCTTCTTTTTCGTCGTTTAAAAGTTCTAAAACTTCTAAATTCTTCTAATTTTCGTCTCTTTTTTCCCATCTTGCTTTTCGGTCATTCGTCAATGCTCCATTTCTTCCTCCTGTGATACTGACTCTGCACTCTCAGTCTCCGTATCTTGTAACACGTCGTTAGCTATCCTGACGCTGCTGGAAGCCGTCCTCCAACACTTCTGCTCTTCCACCCTCTGTTTACAACAAGGTAGGGGATCCACGTTAGATTCTCTGTTCCTGCAGAAGCTGTTGTGGAGACACAACGTCACGTTTCTCTCTGCCTTCTCCTTTCCACTACGTTCACTCGTCCTGGAAATTCTTTTCACAGCGGTGGTCACTGCATTCCGATGAGTCACGAGAGCTCGCTTAAAAGCTCCTGCTACAATGTCCAGCTGATATTCACTGTACACTCTGCCATGCTTCGACATATGCTTCTTCGCATATTCATACAACCATGCAGTCATGTTAGCTCTGAACCATGGCATCAATCGTTTTCTTGCCCATATCTTCTTCACTTCCATCGCAATGTTTAGAATTTTGCACATTGTCTCAAAAAGATCTAAATCTTTTAGACAATCTAATTTCCGCAACTGTTCTTTCGTCGGTGCCTCCTGTCTTTTTTTTTCTCTCACATGAGCTTCCAGCCATCGTATCGCCATCATAACTCCCACTATCACTATTGTTATGGGCTGTGATGAATCTGGTTAACCCATGGAGAGCAGCTCTCCAGAGTCCCAGATCAACATCAGATTACCACGCTTGGGATACCACCAGGTCTGCAGCAAGCAGTGGCAAGGAAACTCGTCATGCGTCAACATGATGCTCCTCTAATTACGTTTTCCCGAAGCTTCCAGCAATGGTTCCATTTCCATCATCACT